TTTCTAGGATTATTTTTGTTAGAAAAGGAAACAGTTTTATATACATTAAGTCAAGATCTGAAGATGGGATCCATAAGAAAATCATTAACATCTTTATTTTTAAAGTAGGTTTTTTTTAAAATTTCTTTAAACCTTACTGGTTCGAACGCGCTAAGGAATGAAGAAATGTAAATAATTGTTGTGCCAGCCAAAAAGCGAAGAGGAAGTACCGATTAAAATATCGAGTGACAGAAGAGTTCCTAAGATTGTTGAGATCGGGTTTATGTTTTAAAATGCCTTAAAACCGATATCGATAATGTCTCCCCATCGCTGGGCAGCCTGTATATAAATATACAGCTCTCTATTTACATAATTATAATTCTTAGGTAGGTTTAGATTTGCAGACATAAATCTTGTAATAAATATAACAGCTGCCTAATACATTGATTACATTTTCATTAGCCAATGTAAAAATGTCTTTTATTGTACCTAGGATTTGACTAAACACTACACAAAACTAAAAATAAAATGCCACTTTCATCGTGTAATTAATGCCGCGTTTGAGAATCCACATCGGATGCATTTTTTACATCTCGAGCGTTTTTTATCCACATCGGACACATATGTCCCATTACATTTACGTATACTGAATCACGTGATCAAAGATTTACTACTTACTACATCTCAGATGCATCCGATGTGGATTCTCAAACGCGGCATAAATAATAAACTACAAACGGTCCTGTAAGGGCAGCGTCATATAGCCTTGAAACACCGAATTTTAGTGCTATTGCCAGGTCAATATTGAATTTGTAGGTGAATCGCTTATTGAACAATAAAAATACGGTATTAATGACATTAATACGGTATTTGTATATATTTTTGGGAATGTAATTACACATAAATATTATTAGTTGATTATTTAAATGTGTATAAGTTATTTTGTGGCGATATTTCGTAGATATAAACTGTTTAAATCATATAATTTAAAAATTAATTAATTTAAAATTCTTTTCTGTTAGGTATGTTTAATATATTTGGCAACACTACAGGGACAAGTCATGCATATTGCGCAAGCTTCTAGACACACTATTTTGCGATGTCAGGCGCAGAGACGCGTTTTTATGCACAGTAGGTTTCAATTTCTGCTTAAATGTTATGTTTATATTGGTCTTCTATATTATTTCTATGAATAAACCCCAGTTCTTGATCATCTTCACAAGTAGGTAAATTAGGGGGGGCTTAGGGTAAAATTGCCCTAAATTTTTTTTGTTGACAGTTTTTAACATTTTTGACTATAAAATTTGAAAAACCAATGTTTTCTTTATAATAAAGCTACTTTTGTTGCATTTCGCTAGGACGCACCATTTTCAAGAAAAAAGCATTTGAAAATTTCATGATTAGTTGATGTTATCTTATTCGAAATTGTAAACAATAATTAGTAGGCCTGTGACTAAAGAAATTTTAGAAAATATTTACAAAAATGTGCCAACGAAACGTTTTCGGACCTATGTTTATATAAACTTTTATTCCTATTTTAGGATGTAGATTACGCTGTTAAAATATGACCGTCTAATTTCGGGACACCCTGTATATCTATAACATCGCTCAAATGAAGTAATGTCATTATTTCCTGTGCATGGATTTTTGCTTTAAAACACTTTGTTGTTTAGGAATAAATAAAACATTCGGTTGTGTAATTTTCCATTTATTTTTTTAAGAAAATAATAAATTAAACATTCAATTATATCCGACATGGCAACAAAATATATTTAGAAAAAGTTATATCTAATTAAAATTATTCTAATTTAAATATCTTTCTAAAGTGCAGGTAAGATTGATATTTTCAATGAGTCTTATAGATAAAGAAATAATTAAATAATTATGCACTAGATTAATTAACCCAAGGAAACATGATCCATTTATTTGCTAAAAGATATCTCGAAAATTACCAAAAATACACAATACACTACATTATAACAATAGGCATTTTAGGAACATAAAATACAAATACTAAAATACAAATCACTTCCAACAATTTAAAAAAAACGGGCGTATACAAGATAGATAAAAATATATTTTTTTAATAAAAATTGTAAATTCAAACATTTTCTTATTATTGGGGTTATATTTTCAAGAAGGTGCGATTTCTTATATATTTCTAATATAAATATTACAGTCTTATAAAAGCTGTAATTTTTAACTTCAGTAGCAGATCCAAGAATTTTGATTTGAATGCTTTAAAATAGAAAATCTGCTTTTTTTCAGAATTCTATGTCAGTTCATTATAAAAGACCATTTGTGTAATTTGTCAATGTGAACAAACACAAATTTTTATACTTAATAATAACAATAAAAGTACACGATAGTAATCTATGAACAATAGCCATCCACCAATGTTTGGTACACCTATGCAGATGATTATGTGGTTTTGTTAGCAAGAAAAAGGAAAATTAACCAAATTAATCAAAAAAAGATTAAAAAAGGAAAATATTGACTAACAAATTAACGAAATGAAAAGAAAATTGACTTGTAATACAAACGAAGAAAGAAGGTAGGACATAATTTGAGGAAAATAGCAGCTACACATATGCATCTTGATGCCTTATGCAAAGAATGTGATATAAACCAAGAGAATAGGAGTGACAAAGAGTAAAAGAACGGCATGAACATTAAATGAAACTCTAAGATATAATCAGGTATAGCGAAAGAAGTTAAAATGGAAGTTTGGGACAAGATGTTGCTATGTATTTTAGGATGAAAGTCAAAATATGGAAGAGTAAGAAAGAACAAAGAACCGGGAGTTACATTTGGAGTGTAATAAGTTACAAAGTCAGTCCAACTTAACATTTGTTGTGAGAGGATTGCCCATAGGAAAATACTTGTCTATATGCTGGAAAATGCGAGAATATAAAAGAAGAAGAAGTAGATGCCCGAAAAGAAATTCTTTTTCAGCATTTAGAAGAGAAAAGCATAATTTGTTGAATTTGCAACCAATTCCTTTCAATTTATGAAACCATATTATGAAAAAACTGTAAACTGTAAACATTGCTTTAATTCTAAATAAATTAACAGGGTCTACCATAAAAAAGGATGAGTTTTACAACATTTCTATCATATCCTCAACTATAACACATTATTCCTCTTTCTTCAATTTAACCAATAGTCTTTAGTTTTTGAATTTAAAAACCAATGATACATTATTGAAAAGGACTGTTTATTGCGTTTCTTTTGATTTTAACGACCTCTAGCACAATAAAAACCTGTTAAATATTGTAGTGGAATACCTCACTTAAAAATTTAACACTTGTAGCATACATTTGTTATTTTGGATAATTGCAGTTAAAGTTAAATTAATTTAATCTTAACTTTGATGGCAAAACAAACTTATGCCATTTAAGTTCATGTTTCATTCAATTTTTTTATTGTGCGATGTGTTAAGTTACTAATAAAAATAGCTTTCAAATGAAGTGTCACAGTTGAGACTATGATATAAAGGTTCCCTTTCTGTGTCGTACCTTGTATAATTTATAGTTTAGAGAGCGTAAAATAAAAACAATATAAAAATATCTCCTAGAGAGAATTGCATGCGGTATGCATTACCTAATGAGCTAAATAAAGTTGTTTATAAACTAAATATTTAGTTTTTGAACTGTTATTATTTCATTTATGTGAAAAACTGGCATTTTATAATGCATCTCAAGTCTAGGCAGCCAAATCTACCGTTCTAAACAATATTATTAGTTCCATTTCGAAAGATTTACACTTTAAACAGTCATACTTGCAATTATGCAATCCAACTACCTGTCAAAATACTTCCAATTAGGCATTCCAACGACCTGTCAAACAATAGGTGCCAGTGGGAAATTCTTGTATATTTAAGGGGGTAGCGACATAGTCTTGCAACTTGGACGCTATTTTTATTCGAAGTAGTACTCGCCAAGCCTGCCAATTTATGAAGAAATGTATAGATGGGTTTTTTAAATATTATTTTTATTGTGTTTGACATAAAATATTTAAATGTAATCCATTATTCATGATTTTACGTAAAGTAGGTAGAATACGCCATATGTCGCCACCCTTAGATATACCAAACCTGCCAACTGGTAATTCATTTGTTTGGAATGCCTAATGGGAACTGACAGTTTAGATATGGCAACCCTGTGAGCCTGTTGTCATTGACAGGGTCAACGATACATATATAGTTATATAGATTACTGAAAGCCGATCGTTAGCGAGCGGCCATATTGCCTGGCAAGTGTTTCGCAAAACTGTGTTTACAAATCAATTTTAGGGCTTTGAATATAGTAAAAAACATAATTACCTACATTTTTACTTCAAGACAAGCTTATGTCTATTTTGAAAAACATAGATGATCAATCTATATAACTATCTATTTCACTGACCATGTCAAATCACCAGTCTTACAGGTTGCCATAATTTTGCCATATCATAAGCTGTCAAAACACACTGGTAGCCATTTTGTTTGGAATGCCTAATGTGTTTACAGAAAAAAAAAACAATTTTAATTATATTGGAACGCCCCACGTATTTTTATCTCGGCTCTTATTTTAATTTAATAAAATAGATACGTCCCAATTTGCAATTAAAATGCTACAAAATTAATACTGTTTTGCTAAAAATATTATTAAAAATTACAGCTTTTGTTAAGATACCTTTACTCCATCTATAATAAAATAAAATTAAAAACTATCATTAATATGTACAATGGGAATAACCCTTACCTATCAGTTTATATCTTTATAAATACTCTTTTATTATATCATATTTTTTTTAAAAAGTGATAAAAATATTTTAGAAATAAAAACAAGTCAATAATAATAAAATCTATCCTCTTTTAGAAACCTCTAGTAGTTCAGGTACTTAAGATCTTCATCATAGCAAGTAATGAAACGCTATGAATTAAATTATTTAATTTACAAATTATATACATCATAGTTTAAAGCTCTCATTTAGCCTCAAGTAATGTTTAAAAACTTTTAGTTTTACTTCGCATTGACTTATTTTGTAAAGCTTGGATTATCAATGCCTTCTTTTTCGTTAGTTTCTGCCTTGCGACCACTTAGCATGGCTTGCACTTCAGCTACAGACTTGCCTTTAGTTTCAGGCACAAATACTAGTACGTAAGCCACGCCGGCGAAGCAAATTCCAGAAAAAATATAAAACGTCGTATCACCACCGACACCATCTTTCATATCACCATAAAATTTCGTTATAATAAATGCTAAAAACCAGTTGAAAGTAGCGGCTATGGAACACATAGTAGATTTAATTTCCGTAGGCATAAGTTCTGCTGAAATTAACCAAGGGATCGGTCCAATGCCAATTGAAAACATGACAATAAAAACGCCCAAGCAAATCACTGGTAAAATTCCAATCGAAGCAACTGTGTCAGCGTCTAAAACATGCCTGTCTTTGAATGTGAAAAATAATGCTAAAACAAATTCCGACACAGCCATGAACAAAATGGATACCAACAACAATAATTTCCTACCGAATTTATCTACTATCAACGAAGCAACAAACGTGGCCAATGTTTGTAAGATACCTATAATAATAGTAGCCGTAGAAGCTTTTAAACTAGAACCAGAAGCTTTGAAAATATCTCCTGTATAAAAAATAACGGCGTTCGCCCCACTCATTTGTTGGAAGAACATAATGCTGAAGCTTATAAAGCAAGCCTTTATTCCCGCATCAGTAAATAATACCTCTTTAAATGATGCTTGGGCGGAAGCATCTTTTTCCAAGCTCTGTTGGAGTTCTTTTAATTCAGGTTCACAGTCATAATTGCTTCCACGCAATCTTTGAAGCGACTGCTTAGCTTCTTCGTATTTGTTGTTCTTAAGAAGATACAAAGGAGTTTCTGGCTGGAAGAAGAACACACCAGCAAAAATAACTGGTAAACAAGCTGCGACTATGGCCGAGGCTTGCGGACTCATATAAGCTCCTGCTATATAGGCTATAAGTATTCCAACAGTTAGAAGAAGCTGGAAGTAGCTTCCTAAGGCTCCTCGAATACTGTTCTGTGCTATTTCTCCTGTGTAAATGGGTGCTGCGACACAGAAAGCTCCTCCTGCTAAACCTGTGAGAAACCTGCCAACGTAGATCATATTAATGTTTGTGGAAAAGATGATCAAAAGCCATCCTACGAGGAAGGGAATGACTGTCATTAAACATCCCCATTTTCTTCCGATTTTGTCGCAGATAAATCCAATGGGTAAGCACATTATCAGTGCCCCTACCGAAACAAAGGATCCTATCCATCCTAAGGACTGTTCATCAATGGGTATGTCATTAAGTTTGGAATCTTTTAAATCATCAGTAATGTTACTCGTCCAACCTAGAACTGCGCCTGCAGCTACTGCTCCCAAACATACTGAAAAAAAAAAGAAATAAATAAATTTTAATTCGCTCACAATAAATAGAGGTTGTTTTTTTTTAATTTGGTGTCAGCGGCATCGACTACTAAGGTCATTAGCCTCGTGTTATTTATGTTACTGGTAACGTTTTCTGTATAGCCTTTGTAACTATTTCTTAGCGTAACTGTAGTGTCAGTCATATTGATTAGAATACAACAGTGATTGGTCTAGAGCTGAGCAAAGCACTCGAAAAAAGAGCTTCAAGCACCAAGCCTTTTAGAAAAGTAATTGCTAGTATCAAGCACCAAGCGAAAATTCTAAGTGCTTGCAAACTTGCAATTACCAATTACCGAGAACAGTATTTGTATAAATTGTTAATGACAAAATGTGTTTTTGAACATTGACTGTTCTCTTCTTTATTGTTGTCGCTGTTGTAAATGATTGCCATAATGGTCATCCGACCAAAGTTCGAAACACCATGCAAAAATGGGGAAATTTAATTTTTTTTTCGAATCTATGAAATTCAGTTCCAATATCTTTAGGGGTGATTCTACTAAAAAAAACATTTCTTCATATGAACATAGTTACGGAAATGCATATATTTTTTTAAATCAGTTTTTGTAAACAGGGCCGACTAGAAGGGGGGGGCAGCCGGGACTAATTCCGGGGGCCCGGTAGTGGTATAAGGGGGGCCAGGCCAGCGGTGGTGTTTGTTACTTTCAGAAGTTCGACAGAAGAGGGGGGACGTTCTTAGTTGAAAACCTTTTTTTTTTTTTTTTTAGAGAAATTCAAGTAGAAGAGGAGAAATTTTTGCTGTAAAATTGTTGCGGGGCCCGATCTGGAGAATTGTCCTGGGGCCCGGCCTGGCTCTCGGCGGCCCTGTTTATAAATATCATTAATATACTTCACCCGATTTTGTTAAAATTTGGCAGTGTTGTTTAAAGTAATAAGGGACCAATTTAGCCCCAACTGGATGATAATAATTAAGTTCAGTGGCCTCTTAAACAACGTATAAACAACATTGCCAAATTTGAACAAAATCGAGTAAAGGATATTAATGAAATTTATAAAAACTGATTAAAAAAGTATCTTGAAAAATATGAATTTTTGGATCTATGTCTATATAGATATTTTCATGTTTTCCTATGTAGAATCACCCTAAAAAGTATTAGAACTGAATTTCAGGACACCCATATATGTTATAACAGATTCGAAAAAAAAAAGAAATACATTTCCTATGTTCGCTATTTTTGCATGGTTTTTCGAACTTTGGACTAAAATAGCTATGGCTACCATTTACATCAGTGGCCAATCAATAATGGTATTGTGTTTAAAAAGACATTTTGTCATTAACACTTTATTCATTAATATTGCAGTGGGATCTCGGACTATAAAAATTTGGATTTAAGTGAAAATTCCACACCTGTAATTTTGAACCAATCAAAATACGTGTTTTTGACAGATCACCATGGCAACGGAGGTATTTTAGTGGACATTTTTTTCTCGTGGGGTACCCAACAGCGAATTATACTGGAAATTTTTTGACGTTTACAATAACAGACCATTTTTGACAGACTGGTTTTTATTTGTTCACATAATAGGTTTAGTTTTGATACATTTTAGTTACAATGCTAAGGTGTTTTCTATATTCTTCGGCCACTTCTTTTCTTCTTAATGGCGAAAATGCAGGACATTGGATGCTTTGAATTATGTGTCTATGTCTAATAAAATATATATATATATATATATATATATATATATATATATATATATATATATATCCCTAGCAGTATTTTGCGTCCGATAACATGCACAGTACGTTACATTTTGCTTCCATGACTATTTTACGTCCGTATATCGGACGCAAAATAGTTTTCGGCTTTTCCCGCCTTGTAAAAGCACGGAACTAAATCAATTTTACAGAGATAAGTTTGTTTTGTGGTTGGGTTTCTATATCTAACACTTATTTAAAGCTAACCATTACAAGATGGCAGTTATAATGTATTAAATGGACGCAATTTAATGCCAGATATGAAAGAAAATATACAACATTTAGTTTGTGAGATTACCGTTAGAGGCGCTAAATAATATACATAATGTATATTATCCTTTCATTTCACTCACTATTTTGACTCCAACTAGCGGCAACACTGTAAAGTGTAAAACCAAATCACTGTAAAGAGCATTGTTAAGTGCGTGGATGTTGGAGTTTATATTTTTTTGTTATATTAGTTAGGATTCTAAGGGTTTATGTGAAGTTAGGAATTTCTAAATTAAATATTTTTTCTGTAAAAACATTTGCGGAAATTACTTTAGGTTATTTTAATTTAATGGATTATATATAAATAATTATTTTAAAATAATTATTTTTGGGTTTTGATTATAAGAAGTTTTTGGCAAATATCTTAGGTTCTTAAAATTTATTATGTAAATTATAATTATTTCAAAATAATTTTAATTGTTTGATTAAATACGGGATAGTACTAAATTAAATTTTAGTTATAAGAAATTTGGGGGCAATTACTAGAGGTTATTTGAATTTAATAGATATATTATAATTCCTTTAACATAATTTTAGTTATGGTATTAAAAAATCTGATTTACATATTGTAAGAAAAATATTATTAATATTATACCAATATGATTATGATTGATATTTATGATTGATGATTATGACTGATATATATATGATTGATGATTAATGATTATGATTGATGATTATAATTGATGATTAGGTTTCATGATTGAGAATGATGATTAAGATTGATATTTATGATTGATGATTATGATTGATAATTATGATTGATAATTATGATTAATAATTATGATTGATAATTATGATTGATGAATATGCTTGATAATTATGATTGATGATTATGATTGATGATAATGATTGAAGATTGTGATTGACGATTATGATCTACGATTATAATTGACGATTATGATTGACGATTATAGTTGATGATTATGGTTGATGATTATGTTTGATGATTATGGTTGATGATAGTGGTTGATGATTAAGATTGATGATTAAAATTGCAGATTATGATTGAAGAATATGATTAATGATAATGCTAGATGAATTATGATTGAATATTATTATTATTATTGATGATTATGATTGATGATTATGATTGATGGTTATGATTGATGGTTATGATTGATGATTACTATTGACAATTATGATTGACGATTATGGTTGATGATTATGGTTGACGATTGTGGTTGATGATTAAGATTGATGATTAAAATTGCAGATTATGATTGAAGAATATGATTAATGATTATACTTGATGAATTATGATTAATTATTATGATTAATGATTATGATTAATGATTATGATTAATGATTATGATTAATGATTATGATTAATGATTATGATTAATGATTAATGATTAATGATTAATGATTAATGATTAATGATTAATGATTAATGATTAATGATTAATGATTAATGATTAATGATTAATGATTAATGATTAATGATTAATGATTAATGATTAATGATTAATGATTAATGATTAATGATTAATGATTAATGATTAATGATTAATGATTAATGATTAATGATTAATGATTAATGATTAATGATTAATGATTAATGATTAATGATTAATGATTAATGATTAATGATTAATGATTAATGATTAATGATTAATGATTAATGATTAATGATTAATGATTAATGATTAATGATTAATGATTAATGATTAATGATTAATGATTAATGATTAATGATTAATGATTAATGATTAATGATTAATGATTAATGATTAATGATTAATGATTAATGATTAATGATTAATGATTAATGATTAATGATTAATGATTAATGATTAATGATTAATGATTAATGATTAATGATTAATGATTAATGATTAATGATTAATGATTAATGATTAATGATTAATGATTAATGATTAATGATTAATGATTAATGATTAATGATTAATGATTAATGATTAATGATTAATGATTAATGATTAATGATTAATGATTAATGATTAATGATTAATGATTAATGATTATTGATTAATGATTAATGATTAATGATTAATGATTAATGATTAATGATTAATGATTATGATTATGAATATCATTATGATTATGATTATGATTATGATTATGATTATGATTATGATTATGATTATGATTATGAATATGATTATGATTATGATTATGATTATGATTATGATTATGATTATGATTATGATTATGATTATGATTATGAATATCATTATGATTATGATTATGATTATGAATATGATTATGAATATGATTATGATTATGATTATGATTATGATTATGATTATGATTATGATTATGATTATGATTATGATTATGATTATGATTATGATTATGATTATGATTATGATTATGATTATGATTATGATTATGATTATGATTATGATTATGATTATGATTATGATTATGATTATGATTATGATTATGATTATGATTATGATTATGATTATGATTATGATTATGATTATGATTATGATTATGATTATGATTATGATTATGATTATGATTATGATTATGATTATGATTATGATTATGATTATGATTATGATTATGATTATGATTATGATTATGATTATGATTATGATTATGATTATGATTATGATTATGATTATGATTATGATTATGATTATGATTATGATTATGATTATGATTATGATTATGATTATGATTATGATTATGATTATGATTATGATTATGATTATGATTATGATTATGATTATGATTATGATTATGATTATGATTATGATTATGATTATGATTATGATTATGATTATGATTATGATTATGATTATGATTATGATTATGATTATGATTATGATTATGATTATGATTATGATTATGATTATGATTATGATTATGATTATGATTATGATTATGATTATGATTATGATTATGATTATGATTATGATTATGATTATGATTATGATTATGATTATGATTATGATTATGATTATGATTATGATTATGATTATGATTATGATTATGATTATG